TAGGCGGACTACAACATCAGAAGGAGTTGGAGCCCAGGTAGACGCGCAGAACATTGCCGTTATGCTTCTATTTTCGTTGTATTAGTAGAAAATATAGGATACTTCATCTATTATTTTGTACTATATATCAGTTAACATCAATTGGATTACAATATATACAATTAAAACTGTTATTATTATGTGTACTATTGACTTAATATGTTTTTACGACGACTTATACTCAGTAATGATCCACAGACACATTATATAATTCATCACATTGTTATATAATTAAGTAGTTTATTATATAACTAGGTACATTATTATATAACTCAGGGTCATCCCTAATTAGGCCGTGGGAGTCAGGGTCCGGGTGCGGAAAAGACGCGACTTGTGGCGGTCCCCGATCGACGATTAGCGAGAACCTCATTGGTATGGCTCTTCATGAACGTATGGGTCCTATGGGAAGAAATAACTCGAGCGTCTATGAAACATGCTGTTTTGACTCGTCGGCTCCGCTCGTGCACTGAAAAATCCACGATCTGCTTATTAGTCACGTGAGTAAGTACCAAGCAGTGGCATATAATAATTCTCTCTTTTTTAAAGCTGCACCAGAGCTCCGCAAAGTCCAGTCTCTAGACTCTTTACACTAAACTCTTGTGCATCAAAATCAGTGTTTTATACCCTTTAGCTCTAGTCTTGGTGCCTGTCCCGCTGATTAGGAGTGCCGTCAATAATGCTTTGCACGATTTCCCCTCGATGGAGTGCGCATTGCTTTAATGTTTCTTTCAGATACGGTGTAGTCATTGCTGCTGCAGTGCAGGAATAGAGGAATCCCTGTTTAGCCATGAATATGAATTCCTATTAGATGCTCAAAGCAAAACAATCACATATGTAAGTCTAAATAAAGAGAATAAAACAGAAAAAGATCCCTCCGTCTCGAAGTCCCAGAAGCATACAAATTACCAAGGACGTCTCGACTCAGCGATCGATTCTGCAATGAAACCGGCTTTCTCATGTTCCTCCACAAGCTTACGCTCAATTTGTTCCTGCTCTTCACGTGATACACCTTTACTCGCAGCGGATTCCTTCGCCTGTCGCATTTTTTGTTTGTATTCGTGGTATTTGTCGTCGGTACCGAAGATGAAGTCGAGCCAGCGGAAAGAGGTGCTGTAGTTGTTGACGAATGCCATGTGGTGGAAGTCATGGTGGTCTGCACCGGACCAGAAGGGGATGATGTGTTGGAGTGAACAGGGGAAGTCTGCAAAGTAATCATGAACATAATGACGATATTTAAAACGGGGAGAAAAGTGACATACCGTAACCAGAGTGTGCGTCGATAGCTTGGAATAGACGAAGGATAATCCAAACGTAAACAGTAGCGATATGTAGAGAGTGCGTTAAATAGCAGTAAAGAAGTGGACCGCCGATCGTGCCAATTCCAAGAATGAATACCTCGGCCGGGTGAGCATACTCAGCAGCAAGTCCGAACGGTGCGGAGTACTTGTGATGAAGCTTGTGGATGTGTCTGTACAATGGTCCGTAGTGTAAGCACCGGTGCAGAACGTAGTGCGTAGCATCCTCAAGGACAAAGAATAGAGCTACTTGGCCAGCCATGGTTCGCCAGTCGGGGAAAGGAACCTGCCAAGTTGACATGCCGAGTGCTTCAGCGAGTGGGTGGAAGAGCCAGATCTATTCGCAAGTTAATCATATATAAAATGTAATATCTAATAAAAATGTATCGTACCTGTGGAAGTTCAATAGTGAAATGAGAAAATAGCACGAGCTTCGTGCACTCCCACTGCTCCGCTGGAGTTGGAATTTTGTTCGGTTGGAGCTTCCATCGACGGAAATACGGAATGGCGTCGACGATAATCCACGGGATGCAACGACCGAAGTAAATCACCTCGTGTAAAATAAAGGACATAATACCCGTCGCAATTGCCGGGTCCTTGAACGAAAGGTACCACTGTACCCATTTATGTTCGAACCAGTTGAGTTGCGCGAAATCCGTGTTTGAGTAGAGGAACTCGACCGCCGACATGGCGGGAGCAGTTACATTCGCCATTTTTATAGTATACGTAAACCTGTAAGTCGTAAATCCGAAGAGAAGGAGCTCAACGTCGTTTAGGACGGCGACGGGGAGGATGGCGGAAGGAAGAAGCTCGTTTGCGAATTTTTTATAGACAACTCACTTCCGTGACCGTGAAGTCAGGCAACTCGAAGAATTTCCGCGATTACGTCATAAACTTTGGCGCCGTCTATTCATTTCGCTTTCAGTAATTTTTTTCAGTTCTTTTTGCCCTCTTGATGTTTTCAAAGGTGAGCTGCACCTGAACACGGCCTGGTATCCAAAAGATATACTTAAGCAGCTCCAGGAACCAGTCATTTCTTGAAACCTTGTCGATCTGGCAGGACACGGAGTTAAGAAAAGTATCAAAAAAGCTGTGCGACCAATCTCAGGGATATTGCATTGATGCATTTTACCAGCGACCCCCGTAAACAAATTACTTTAGCTGAATACTTGTCTCTATGTACATGGGCTCGTGTCGACATGCGTGTTTCGTTTTATTTTTATTTTTTGCGTATCGCTTATTCGCCGATGATCTTGATGCACTCATCAATAGTATAATGTGAGCATTGTTTAATCATGACTGCTCGACAATCCACTTTCTTTGACTTTCAGAGATCCGAAACTATGTTTTTTGGCTGCAGAGAAGTAATTCAATAATAAGACATGCAGCACGATTTGGCACATTTATTTGTTGAACTTTTCAAAATTTCAAACCAAAAAACGAGTTTGATTACGTAATTCAATAGCGCGTGTCGAAGCCAGCAATTTCTTTCCTCGTCACGACCTCGATGTCGGTGCACCGGCTGCTGTCTATCTGCACAATTGGCACTGTTGGACTAACATGTAAAGCCTTTCTGAACGGATTCTGCGCGTCCGTAAAGGTTACCGGGCTTCAACATCTACTCAACGCACTTACCGACGCTGAACGAGACAATGGACGGGGCATCGTTACCAGTGAGTGTCAAACTATAACAGCTTTTCACATACATGATTGATCTTAGCATCCTCAGTTGCGAATCATATTTCGACGTAAGCGTTGCTCTCAGCCTATGAGAAGGCATCGGCTACTCTAACTCTTTGTATTCAGGCTGGACGATCCGTTAATATGGGGTGCACTTCCTGCACGCTGCTATTTCAAGCTACGCGATATGCGCTGGGCTCTCGGAGCTTCCGACATCATGTTCACAAACCCGTATGTACTCCATTCACCTTTGCATAGTCAGATAGTTCAAGCCATACTTGCCTAGGAAGTGTTTTCTCCGCGTTCTTTCGTAAGGGCCATGTCTTAGAAACGTTCCGCGGTAATGGTGTTTTTCAGCCCGCGGTCGATACAGCGATTGCGAAACTGGACAAGGGGGAGTGGATACACCTCTTCGGAGAGGGGAAAGTAAACCAGCCGTATCAATATGAACTCTTGCAGAGCACGGAGGTGGCTGGTGGATCGAGCGGCAAGGGAAACTTAGTTGCCAGGTTGCCGCGCTTCAAGTGGGGAGCGTGAGTCTCAGAATATTATTAAATTATAGGATTCAATGTAATGAAGTACATATCAGAGGTCGCATCCTTATGGAAGCTCAGCGTCTACCAGTCATCATTCCTATGTGGATATCTGGTTCGTGCTTCCCAAGATGTTTATTTTTTTGTCTGTTGTCTTACATGCAACTACTTTTTAACCATAGGATTTGAAAACGTGATGCCTGAACCCCGGCCACAAAGCTTCCCGGCAAAATTCCTACCTCGGCTACGCCAATCCCTCAGTATCACCTTTGCACCACCGCTCGACCACTCACGTCTATTCGAGATACTGAAAGCAGCGCGAAGTTCCGACAGCATGCCACTAGTCAATCAAAATGTGGTTAACAAGAATGCTGATAGAAACGCGGACAAGATGAAGGATCCTGATACAACCGAGAAACGACGGGTGCAAGAGGCGCTGACCGCTGTGCTACAGCGAGCAGTGGAACAACTGGGATATGCTACTTCTGGACCTCTACTTGGGTATCCGCCTAGCACGGACTTGGGTCCAAAGCGTTTCACTGAAAGATCATGATTGTTCACTGATTGGATGGGAGGAGATACTAGTTTCTACGTCATACCGACAAGTTTATCCTTATTGATTCATTACAACGATACGATAGGTTTACTACATCTTGCACATCTTTAATTTAGCTCCGTTGCTTAGTGAGTTATAGACATGCTCGAAATTTATCATTTCTAATAAATTGGCTAGGATTATGAAATAGATCTGTCATATTTATGTTTACAGGAATGGAATGAGATTATTCCGAGTAGATGTCGGCCAGTTGATGGCAGGGTTAGGAAGGCCGTTACGTTTGCTCCAGCCATTTATCTCATTTTGACACATTCTGGCATACAGGCACACATGGACTCACCTAGAAGTGCAGAGGACACAATTGTGCTCTGTTCTTTTTGCTCCTATCTCTTTCTTGCTGAAACTGTGTCTCTGTCTTCCAACCAGTTTCAATGTGTGGCAGGTGTCAGCAACAGCATAGAGGGGACCCGAAGGCTCAGCAAGGGGACCCAGGCTACAACTATCCTACACAACAGAAATACAGAACACAAGCACCAGAACATAGTCAGAAGTCACAGAACAGACAGAGAGAGAGAGTGAGACAAGAGTAGAGTATATAGAGTGAGCCTAAGAGTATAGGACTACCTGGAGTAGACAAGATCAAGACTACAGGACTAGTCTGATCTTGTACACCTATATATACTAAACTACACAAGAGCACTTAGGGAGTATGAGCTACTAAGAATGATAAGCTATGAAGAATGAAAGAAAGGAATGTCAAAGATAGAGGTACAAAGAATGAAGGGATAGACAAAGGTGTCAGCAACAGTGTAGAGGGGACCTGAAGGCTCAGCAAGGGGACCCAGGCTACAACTATCCTACACAACAGAAATACAGAATGTAAGCACTGGAACATAGTCAGAACTTGCAGAACAGGCAGAGAGAGAGAGTGAGACAAGAGTAGGGTATATAGAGTGAGCCTAAGAGTACAGGACTACCTGGAGTAGACAAGATCAAGACTACAGGACCAGTCTGATCTTGTACACCTATATATACTAAACTACACAAGAGCACTCAGGGAGCATGAGCCACTAAGAATGATGAGCCATGAAGAATGAAAGAAAGGAATGTTAAAGATAAAGGTACAAAG